CCCCTACGCCTGCAAGTCCATCCCCAAGCGCAAGCTCCTCTGCCGGGAGGACTACGAGGATGTCTGGCGAGAGATTCAGATCATGCACCACCTCTCCGAGCACCCCCACGTCGTCAGAATCCGCGGCACCTATGAGGACGCCGCCGCCGTTCACTTGGTCATGGAGCTCTGCCGCGGCGGCGAGCTTTTCGATAGGATAGTGAAGAAGGGGCAGTACAGCGAGCGGGAGGCGGCGAAGCTGATCAAGACCATTGTTGGGGTTGTGGAGGCTTGTCATTCGCTCGGGGTTATGCATCGGGATTTGAAGCCGGAGAACTTCTTGTTCGACAGCGAGGAAGAAGACGCGGCGCTGAAGGCGACGGACTTCGGTCTCTCTGTATTCTACAAGCCCGGCGAGACTTTTTGTGACGTTGTTGGAAGTCCGTATTACGTTGCCCCTGAGGTGCTGCGGAAGCACTACGGGCCGGAATCGGATGTGTGGAGTGCAGGGGTGATTCTGTACATTTTGCTAAGTGGGGTTCCGCCGTTCTGGGCGGAGACGGAGATTGGGATCTTCCGGCAGATTTTGCAGGGGAAGTTGGATTTTGAGTCCGAGCCGTGGCCTGGGATTTCTGATAGTGCACGTGACCTGCTCAGTAAAATGCTTGAGAGAAACCCAAGGAAAAGGATCACTGCCCATGATGTGCTTTGCCATCCTTGGATCGTAGATGACACGATTGCGCCCGATAAGCCGCTGGACTCGGCTGTTCTGTCGAGGTTGAAGAAGTTCTCCGCCATGAACAAGCTCAAGAAAATGGCACTGAGAGTGATCGCGGAGCGGCTGTCGGAGGAGGAGATTGGCGGGCTGAGGGAGCTTTTTAAGATGATTGATGCAGATGGGAGCGGAAGCATCACGTTCGATGAGCTGAAAGAGGGGCTGAGGAAAGTGGGGTCTGAGCTAATGGAGTCAGAGATCAAGGATCTCATGGAGGCGGCTGACATTGACAACAGCGGGACGATTGACTACGGCGAGTTTCTGGCGGCGACGGTGCACTTAAACAAGCTGGAGAGGGAGGAGAATCTGCTGTCGGCGTTTTCGTTTTTCGACAAGGACGGAAGCGGGTTCATCACCATTGATGAGCTGAGTCAAGCATGCAGGGAGTTTGGATTGGGGGAGCTGCATCTGGAAGACATGATCAAGGAGATTGATCAGGATGATGATGGGCAGATAGATTATGGGGAGTTTGCTGCAATGATGAGGAAGGGGAATGGGGGAGGGATTGGGAGGAGAACAATGACAAGGACAATGAATTTGGGGGATGCTTTGGGGCTTGGAGACCAACTAACTGATTAGAACAAGTTCTACTTCACTTGGAGTTGGTGGTGAACCCTTTTTGTTTTGGTGATTAGAACTAGATCTGAGGAAAGTCTTTTGGGTTAAATCTTAATTGTCATTACAAGCAGAAAGAAAATACTAATCTTGGGTATGGATTCAAGGTTAAATCTTCTTCTGTAATGTAAGCAAAAGATGGTAGTTGGAATTGCAATGTTTTCTTGTTTTGTTCAATGTGGATTAAAGCAAACTATTTTGGTATATATGGAAAGCAACTTGCTTAGAACGGATTTACGGCCGCACAGCATTTCGGTTCAATAATACACCATCAAAGAACGAAAATTTTCATTTCGATTCAATAATACACTATCAAAGTACGAAATTAGAGCAATGATACAGTGGTGATGAACTCATTTCATATACGTTTTTGCAGTTACAAAACTCATTTCTTGTTCTAGCCCAATACCCGAAACTTCGACTCTCCACTTTATGTGGCCTTTATTTTCTTTTAGCCCAGTAGACTTCATTCTGTTTTATCGAGTTGTCCTATTAATTTTTTTTTTTTTTTTAAACCAACGTTATTATCTATGCCAAGAAAATGGAGTGGACTTAATCTCATTAAATTTGAATCACAAAACAAACACAAACTTTAATGGAAACGTTTTGAGTAAGAACATGACAGACTTGTAATTGACATGCAAAGACATAATCTAATTTATAACAATGATGGAGGCAGCAGCCTTCTAGATTTAGGATTTTTGTTGTTGTAGACTTATTTTGTTTGGGTATTTTTGTTATATTTTCTTTTAAGTTATACTTGTATTTGGACTGTCTTTGAGCTTTCTATTTTATTTAATAATTTGTATTAAGTTTGAACCAAAAAAAAAAAAAAAAAAACCATGAAGACGGACATAATTCCCATAAAATTATTACTAGAATGGATTGAGTACCACTAATTTCATGTTAAGAAATGCTAAGAATACTTTCAAAAGTGAAACTTTTTATGGCCTACCTTGCACCTCACAGTTTAATGTCAATTTTCGTGTCAGCACTATAAAACATTATGATAAAAACATAAAGTTACAGAATCTATGAACAATCCCATTTTAAAACAGGATCCTTTCCGAATTTTTTGTGAGGGATCCGGAGGACCACATCATCCTGACCATTTAGTTTAAAATCGTGCGGCCTAATATTAAATTTACTTTTTAAAACTTACTTGAAGCAAAACCAGGGGCGATGCACCTCTGTTTTCCTCCTCTTTCTCCCCATGTCTCATATCCTAGCAACCGACAAAGCACAAACTTGAGTTCTTACAGGTCAAAAATTTCACTGATTAAATACTAAATCAACACTAACTTATGGACATGCCGAATTCTTTCTATTTTTTGGGTCAAAATTCCAAGTTCGAGAAGAGGAGATGGAAGTGTTTTCTACAAGTGATTGAACTGGCAGCTTTGGTGGACCCAAACGAAAAGGTGAATAGACCTCACCGCGATCATCGTACATGTGAATTGAATCCACTCTGAATCTGTTTTTGGTTGAATTTTAGAAATTCTCAAATCGTGTCCGTTTATTATATATTGTAAGGTCAGTTTTTGTCAGATACTATTCAAATTTAATTTTAAATAAAACATTTAAAATAATTTATAACCATACAATATATGATAAATGAAAACGATTTGAAAATTTCTAAGATCCTCATAAAGAGAATTCGGACTTCGCACTTGACAGCTGGTACATAAATTCTCTAGAAGCTACAAGACGTATGCCTTTTTAGTTTCTCGTGTCATTTGTATCAACGTGTTATCCAAATTGGAGGAGGCATTTTAGCGTGTGCGTACTCCATACTACTAACAAGGCCATCAAACACATGCTATGCTTGATTCAGTGACACAAGTGTTCATTTTTTTCTTTAATTTTACTGCTATTAAAGGTTAGAGACAAGGATACGTAACTATCACATTAATTTAAAAATAGAAAATTTTGAACCTAAGATGCATAGGTAAAAATTTAATGCGTTATTCATTAAAATATTGAACTACATGTAATATCACAAATTCAATTAAACAATAACTTCACAAGAATAACATTAAAACCTAAATTTAAAGAAAAATTAATAGAAATAGATTTAAAATTTTAAATCTTAACTAAAAGCATTCAAGTAACTTTATTTAATGGCTACGCTGAATTGCAAACTTTTGCAACTGGATAAGATTACAAACACTGAAAGTAGAGTATTTGACGATTATTGGAAGTTGTGTTAGAAACCAATTAAGACTGTTAATTTTGAGTAGGGGTGCAACTTGAATTGGTCCAATCCGAACTCGTTCATGTCCAACTCGACTTTAAAGCCGAATAAATAGTTTTTTTTTTTTTTTTTAGCTATAACCCGCATGAACCCAACATAATTTCAACTCGTTAATTGATTGGGTTGAGTTGGATTGATCATTTGCTTATCCATCCCCAACCCGACTAACCAAACCCAATCTAACCAGATTGTAACCCATATTAATTAATGCTCATACTACACCTAAGAGAGCCAAGTCCAAAAATCATCGCCCTTTCTAATATTTTTTTAATAAATTATCCTTAATAATTACGAAGCTTTTAGGGAATAAGAGGCTTTGATTAGTCAGCCCATATTCGTAGTCTCTAAATTCTAGAGCTTTATAGTAGATTGATTTATGAAATTAAAGTTAGTTAGCTTTGATGTTACTTGGCTTAATTTTTTAGGAATTCTTAGAAATTATGTTGTTACAAGATTAAACTTGAAAAAGTTGACTCTAACCCAATCCAAGTAAACCTTAACCCAATTAAACCTGAGCCCAAATGAACCCGAATGAAACCCAATATGAACTTGAGTCCGAATTGTAAAAGTTGGGTTAGGATTGGATTGACCTTTCAACTCGCCCAACCCATCCGAGTTGCATCCCTAATTTTGAGGCAGCATTACAATTCTTTCAACAAACATTTCTATCAAGCAAGTGACCCTTTACCATGGTGGTGAAAAGGTATTGAGCTCTTACATAACGACGTGGGTTTAAACTCAATCGATGATTAATTTAACAAAACCTATCGTTGGACAAAATAAAAAAAAAACCAACGGTTTCTACCAAACATCAGATTCCAAAATGTTGCTATCTTTTATCAATTTTCTTTTTTTAGAGAGAAAAAAATGAAACTAAGGAACTTTATGTTGAAAATTGAAAGATTCAAAAAACCAGTTCATGCTTCATATTTCTTTTAGTTGAAAAATAGTGAGAGAATGGGTATTTATTTCAATTTAAAATTTTCAGCCACTTCAAGCCAAAGTTATTTTAATTCACTGAAAACTCTCAACTCGATTTTTGTGTTTTCATTAAAACTTGAACTTCAAAGCTTCAAGGGATGGTAAAGTAAAAACATTAACTCATGACAGTATGACATTTAATAAACGGTCAAGATCAATTGATCCCAGGGTCTCATAATAAGAAACCCGTAGAGGATCCTGGTCTGTTTTAGTTGACGTCAAAAAGGGCTTCAGAAACACGTGAGAAAGAGAACCTTCTGGATTCACAATCTGCATAAATATCTACCTCCTCTCGCGCACTCTCAACCGTCCATCACGAAAGATCCTCCAAATCGATTAAATTAAAATAAAATAAAATAAAAAAACTATTTAAATGGGGCTGGTTTCTGGAGTGTTCCTTCAATTGGGCCTCGGTGTCTATTTGCAAAAGGGGTGGAGGCTGCTCATGTTTTCCTTTTCCTTCCCCCTTCGATTACAAGTTCCGTGTTCCGTATGACAAAGATGTAGTTTTCGTACGACATAAAATCTTTGTGTTTTGTGTTTTGTTCTGGGATTTTGGGTCCTATAATTTGTCGACAAGAAACGAACGAGGAAATTAAGGTTTTTTGTTGGGTATTTTTGGATTTGGTTTGAATTGAAGGAGGTGGAAGGAGGGAGGAGAAATGGCGGATGGGGAAGAGAAAGGCAGTGACTTCTATGCAGTTTTGGGGTTGGAAAAGGAATGCACAGACTCGGAGCTCAGAAATGCCTATAAGAAACTTGCACTGGTTAGAATTTTTTTTTTTTTTTTTAAACTAAATTTCATCACCATTTTTGCACAATTGAATTTAAACCCCTCTTTTGACAATTCTTTCATTTGGGTCCTTTTAGAATTGAAATTTAGAGGTAAAGTAGTAATCTTTTTCTGAATTGAATTTCTGGGTCTTTGGCAAATCGTTGAAAAATGGGACCTTTCTACTATTTGCTGGGGTTGAACATCATTGGGTTCCTTCAAAACTTCTGGGAAATTGGGTTTTCAGGATGCAAATCCCGGAAATGGGTTTTCACTGCATGATCAAAACAGGTTAGAAAGATCGAAAAAGTTTGAAACTTTTCTGGGATTCTTGGGAAATTCGGGGAATTGTGTATTTTTCTTTAATTTATTGAATATTTTTGTTGATTTTTTTATATGCTTTGCTGGTGTAGAGATGGCATCCGGATCGGTGTTCGGCCTCCGGAAATTCTAAGTTCGTGGAAGAAGCCAAGAAGAAATTCCAGGACATCCAAGAAGCCTATTCTGGTAATTTCAGCCTCTAATTCTCATTTAATTATTAACTATTAATTATTTTTTTAGTGAATTGGTCACGAGGGAAGCGTGTGGTCTGTTTTTTGTTGAACAGTTTTATCTGACGCGAATAAGAGGTTTCTGTACGATGTTGGGGCCTATGGCAGTGATGATGACGAAAACAATGTAAGCTTTTTTTTTCTTGGGATTTGATTTGGTCCGGCACTCAAAATATTTTAACTGCTAGTTCTTTATTTAAAAATACAAAAATTAGAATTTAATTAATTAGCGGACTCTATACTATTGAATTTACAGCTTTATCTACACTTTTACTGCTCACTTTTGACCATTTAACCAATCACAGTAGGACTCTATTTAGAGATGATGATTTCCGCACCCCCCGTTACACTCAATGCATTTAATTAGCGTGAGCGGAAATCGTATCCCTATAATAGCACTTGCATAGTCCCTACGGTTATTTTCAAGTTTCACATTCATCCCTGTATATTCAATTGTATCAAATTTGGTAGTTTATAAACTGTTCCAATCCGATGACATTCGCCAATGTTTATTTATTACTTGTATGAAATCCGTCAAATGTAGCCGCCCACCAGATGACCAATTTAAAATTTGTTATTGGTGCAGGGGATGGGTGAGTTTTTGGACGAGATGGCAGTGATGATGCGCCAAACGAAGCCTAATGTATGTACAAATTCACCTTTCTTCCTTTTTAATTTTCGACTTCCCTGCGTTTACTAATATATATATATATATATATATATATATGTTTTAAACACGTTGAAATAGATTAGGGAAAAAATGGGATGCAAAAAAAATAAAAAGCTTTTCGCTTTTTGGGAAAACCTACGTTTTTGGTTTACTTTTGCTTTCCCTTGAGCCCTCACTTTTGCCAAGACATTCTAGAAAAGCGTGTTGAAGGGCCATTTAGTCCTGTTAAAATGGATAGGTCCAACTACAATTGCAGTAACATCCTGGTGAAGTCTATTCCTGAAGGGCCCATTAGTTAGGGCCTTGACCGCAGGAGGGTGTAGCCTTGTCGCTCATCCTTCTGTGCTCTAGTTTGAATCTATCTTCTTTTAGTACGGATTAAAATACCGCTCAAATATAAAAATTTAGTCACTGTGGACCCACCAATCCCATGATGCAGTTTTATTTGTTTAATTGCGATCTGGGGAAGCCCAAGACGAAGGGAAGGCATTGAGGTGCCACTGGCCCACCACTTAGTGATAAATTTATAGTTATGAGAAGAAATTCATCAGGTGTCACCTGGCATGTGACAGAAGTGCACTGCACTTGTTCTGTGTTCAAATGCCTATATTTTCATGAGTGAGTAGAAAATATTTGTAATTAGAGGTTTGTTAGTTGTAGTTACTAACCCGCGTGTGGGCAAGTATAAGCTGTTGATTTGTATGAGATCTCTGTTAGCTGTAGTCACTTCCATTTCCGGCAAAGGGCATCGGCCAGTAATAATCTCAAAAACATTAAGGAAGTATACATAAATAAAACTTTTTACACTAAAAAGAGACTAAACAGACAATTTAGGGGCACTAAAATGTGTTCTATAGCCTGTTTAGTGCTCATTCAGTGAGAAATGATATTTTTTTATTCAAGATTTGAAAAAGTTATATTAATTCGTATTTTCGAAAATATTAAGGACACCCAAAAACATGGGATCTAACATTTTTGAAGGGGTATGCGCTAGTCGCATCAGCTATGCTGAATGATTGAGAGCTTGTTTTGTCTAAAATATCATATTTTGTTGTTCATCTTTTTCCACGTTTAATAAAAATTGTGAGCTGAACATTCTGACTAATCATAAATCTATCTGGTAATGCAGTGAGAAACTTTAGGAACTTCCAGTCTTTTTTAGTTTCTATACGAATGGAAGTTTCTAGAGAAATTTCATCGTGACTAATCCTTTGATGATGCCGATAATGATATTGTTTCCGAGTACCTACTGACATATGAAGAATGCGTAATTGACAGGAAAATGGGCAGGAGACCTTTGAAGAATTGCAGAATCTTTTTGATGAAATGTTTGAAGGGGATACTGGGAGTTATGGGTCAGTCTCTCACCCTCCTAGTTCCTGTTCTACGTCTTCGTATGTGTCCTATTGTGAAAGATCAAGTTCCAGTACTAAGCGGAATTGCTCCGAAATGAACTATGAGAAGGCGACCTTGGACGATCCTTCTGGCTTCGACACTCATTTTCAGAGCTTTTGTTTAGGGGTCAGTACCCTCCTCTTTATGCTTAGTAACCTGATTTTGTCTTATCGTGCTTTTAATATGAGACCTATAGACGGCGGTTCTTTTGATATGCTACTGAAATCCAGTGTGGAGGATTACGCTCCATATTCCGTTATCCTTATAAAACCCAAGGCACTGAAATTTAGATATTTTAGTCTTATGTCGAAGTCCTAGGCGCTTAAATTAATCTACTTTTCATATAAGTTCACAAAGGAATCCAATTACTGACCAGAGTAGGAGTCAAATTTGATCGTTATTGAATAAATAATACAACCAAATGGTCGGCTAGAGCGACTTTCGTGCCATCTAGTAATATCGGAACTGTGTCTTAACAAGTGCTTAATGTATTATGTGTGCATTGTGAAACTGGTGAAGGCATTATCTTCTTAAGTAAAATAACATTTGGAGCAAACAAATGTGGACTCTGAACTTAAGCCTTAAGGTATGAAAAAATAAGCATCAAGTGCTCTTTCGGTTTCTTTGTATAATAAATAAATGTATTGTGCCAACTACCTCTTCTTTCCCTTTTTTCCCCTTCATTTTGTCACTTGTTGTAATGTATTTGTGATTGGTGCTATGAAGACAGGTGGAAAGCCTTCAAGACATCGGGGAGGGGACGGCAGCAAGAGAAGTGATTCGCGCAGAAGCCATCGGTAATCGAAGGCGGGGCAGGAAACAAAAGGTTACATCTGGTAATGATGTTTCTTCAAACGACTACTCTGGTATATCAGCTAGATGAAGTTATTGATCCTTTTACTTATGGACTTATTTGGGAACTTATTTGGCAAAATTTTAAATCATCCTGGAGAGTGCAGAAGAGTAACACCACCACCACCATGAGGAATTTACTCGTTACTTCTAGGCAGCTTTGTGCAGGTTTAGCAGAGGGTGGAATGGGTTTAGGGTTTAAGCTTTCATTGTTGCAATTCCTGCCATGCCATACTATTAGTGGTAATGGCATTGTTTCAAAGTCGTCAATTGTAATCTCAGTTACCCATTGATGTTGGGATTTCAGTAGTTCCCCTTTCTTTATTATTTCAAATCGGAAAAAATACTTGACTCGTTACATGTAGAACGTAGTTTTTCTCATATGGACAAATAAGTTTGACTTGTGCAGAAGGTTTCCTTTTGTTTCACTGAAAATAAATTTATATGTTACGTTGTGATTACCAACCATAACTGTGATTTGTCCGTCTTAAAAAAGAAGGCAGGAATGAAAATGATGGTGGCAAAGTTGTAGTTTGGTTGTTAATCATGGGCAAGGTATAGAGAGTGGAGCCCTACAGGGCACGTGGGTGAAGACCCCACATGTGTGTTGCTAGTGACCCCTCTTCCATGCCGAGGAAAACACACATTCATCTGCTGCCGTTATGCCTTTCGCTTTCAGATGGTGAAACAACAGCAAATTGGCCCGCTAGTCCCGTCCATCTTTAGACTTATTTGCCAGTTCTCGCACATTATTATATTTGCGTTAGTTAGTCGTTGTCAAAATGAATAAATCAAGTAAAAGTAACTGTTAAAATTAAATAGAAATGCTTAAAATGTTAAAAAGGGCAAACGTGTGTTTATCTTTTTTGTTATTAAAAATATAGAAAAATTAATAAAAATGATTTGAAAGTTTTGAATTTTAACGATAAGAATAAAATAAAGGGTAACGTGAAGAGTATCATGATTGATTTTTTAGTGTAAAAATGTGATTTTTCGTTAAAGTAAATAGTACCAGAATCTTTTTGTTGAAGTTCTTTAAAAATATTCGCAGGATCTCAAAGTCCCACGCAAGTTGCCAAAATGATAATGCAGATCGTTATTGTGGGTCGTCCATCGACAAATGGTGTATCATTTTCAACAAATTTCCATGGCACTAGTCAAATGTTAATGCACAAGTTGGGCAAAGCGTGTTGAATGGGGAAGTTGGTATGCAAAAAGTAGAAGGAATGTGAAGAAAAAATACGTCAAAACGATGTTCCGGGACAGAAGAGTCCAGGTATTCTAGTATATGCATGGGTGGCAACTAGTTGGCACATATAGAATAATATATCAAAATCTTCGTTTGCCTAGAAGATGATCGATCTTTAATTTTATTTAATTACCTCCATAATCGCAATTTGCTTGACCATAATTATAGTATTAGTGGTTTTCGAGGCCAACAACTACTTTTTTCATTTGTTTATAAATCAAGTAGCACATTTCGCATGTTAGAATTCATAACTTTGGAGAATGTCTAAATAGATTTGCTCCTTCACTCATGCTAGCTGCATTTGCGTTTGCGATATTATCGTCCATTGATTCTCCTTCTGCTCAATTTATGCTAAAAAAATAAATAAAAGTGTGTAGGAAAGAAAAAATGTGTGCGGAAATCTTTTTCATATTATACTTACTCTTTGGAAAGTACTATGGTTAAAGTTGGATCCTTGAGCAGGAATTAGGAAACTAAGGGTGCGTTTGTTGCACCAGATTATTTCTGATTGGACTAGCTTCAAGGACTAACCTGGACTAGCTTAGACTAGACTAAGCTGGACTGATTTAGTGAAGCGTGGTGTAGTGTCAGACTAAGAAGCAGGATAATGAAAATAGTACTGTCCACAGTATGGCGTTTGCAAATTACTGTTCAATTTTAATTTCCTTCAACCACAAACTAATATTGTACGATTAACAAGAATTAAACCAATATTACAAAAAAAAACTTTCAACGACTCAAATTGATAGGCAAATAGATCCAAATTTGCAGTTTAGAAGATGAACGAGCCTTGTATAAGATTTATTGAACATTGGTTATAGACTCAAAATCCTCATCAGCAGTATACATTACAACCAATATGAGCAATTGATACCGATTTCACACAAAAGTCAGAAATCCTTGAAAATGGACAGGTGCATGCATAACAGCTTCCAGTGCATCAGTCTTGGTGGCATAGGTCTTGTCTGCAAGGATCACAGGCCTCCTAGAAGGCACAATGCTCAAGCTTACCACCTGAGAGTTCGTAGTAATGCATAAGTGTTTCCCATCTACCATCCCGGAATCCACCAAATACATAGCACAACTGCAACAATCATTTACATCCACAACTCCCCATTTGCCCAGCAACATTTTGCAATGTTCTCTTCCATAACCAATTCTTCCACCATCGTACATGTCGCAACGGTTCTCCTGGTGCTTGGAACAGAGTAGCACCCCTAGAATTTTAGCCAATCTGCCTCCCGAATCTCATCCATTCTATAATTCACCCCTAGTTATGCAAAACTAAGAGCATACAACCATGTTATGAAAAAGAGGGGTCATTCGATCGAAGAGGTTTCCTGCAACGTCCTCACTTTCGATTGAAGAGGTTTCCTGCAGCGTCCTCACTTTGTCTCTTAGCTATTTCATCAAACAGTGTAGATGCACACAAATCCTTCTCCACAAACTTACCCACAAGATACCAATTAACCCATCCCAAAATATGATAACATCAAATTTCTAGCAAAACGAAAGCAAGGAATGAAGAACAAAATCACATCAACTTACAAAAACTTATCAATCAATTCATAAAAGGAAAAATAGCAGATAAATTGAAAACAAATGGGTAACATCAAATACTTAGCGGGCAATCATCCCTTGGGAGTTTACAATCGGGACAACAACCATCAAATGCCATCCTACAAATCCCACATGTTTCGTCTTGTGCATGCCATGTCCATGAAGCTGACAGCATGCCACTTGCAGGTCCAAGGGGATAAGAGTTAGAGCTTGAAAGTAGATGAAATAAAACATATCCCAGAAAAAAAAGGGCACATCAAATTTACACTTCGACACATTCACACATGCAGCAATTGATTATTTCCAATTGATTAATGAACATGAGAGATAGCAAAAAGAGGTAAAAAAGACATACTCTGTTTAAAATCTCCATCAGATATTTGCAAAGAGACAAGGTTCAACAGAAAACAGTTACGATAAAATGCATAATACGTCCATTTCCCATCAAAGATATTTCAAGTTAAAACAAGATCACCGAGCAAATGGGATTGTCAAATTATCAAGATCGTTGTTAAAAAGATAATCGCGCCGAATCATAAACAGAGGGAACATATGCTAGAGACTCATGACTAACATAATGGATGCTGATCTTGTGATCGCCATTCGTAACATTAGACTACAATTAAGGTAGTAAAACCCTACAGCTCATTAACTGTTCATAGTTCCAGAGGATGAAAAATCATAGAAATTCAATACCGTCAAGCTGAAATTCATTCCACCACGATTCGATGCAACAGTTTGAAGACGGGAAAGAAAAGAGCACTACAAAAGCTATTTCTAAATGGTATAAACCAGTAAATTTGAAAGAAAGAACAAAATCAAAATCATAGGAATTTGAAACTATCAAGCCAAAATTCAGTCTACCATATGATTAAATGCAACAAAGTTAATATCTTGGAATAAAAAGTACAGAAAGTTACATGAGCTAGTTGCAAATGGTATATAAACTAGAGTAGTTTGAAAGAAAGGACAGAATAACATAAACACAGTGAGAAGGATACGCAAGATGTTGACTTTCATCTTCTCCTCCTGCAACTGCAAAACCCCAAAACCCTACATTTCAGAGCAATGAATTAGAACAAATCCCCAATATTCCCAGAATTCAAGTAATTTCAAATTCGATATTTCGATTAGCTGATTGTAAAACCCCAAATCTACCTACCCAATACAAACTCCTCGATCAAAACTCAAGGGAGATCGCAAACTAAACTCTCTGGGGACTGAAAAGTGTGGCAAATCATAGCAAAAGTCCGATTCTGATTCTGATTCCGATTCCGATTCTGGTTCCCATCTCGAATCGAGGTCTTTGTTCATAATTCAGGGTTGGGGACGAGGAGAGAAGGAGAGAACGTAAGGAGAGTAGAAGACGCGAGCAGAGTGCAGCACAGTACTTAGTCGAGGCGAGTCCAGCTTACTCTCACTAAAACTAGTCCGTGAAGTAACAAACAGAAGACTAGGCTAACTATTAGTCTCGTCCAGTCCAATGAGGGCTAATGAAGGGAAACAAACACATCCTAACAAGATTAGAATTATTGATATGTGATCTTATAGTCATTGTACTTAGAAGCATAAAATTGATTTGTTGAATGCTAATTTAATAAATGATTGTACATATGGGACTCACATGTATCAGAGGGCATGTCAACAAGGGTTGAATTGCGTGTCTAAATCAAAGAAACTTGTAATTAATAAGTGAGAGGTTACTCATGTTCGGCTCTTATAGATGACCATGAGGTTTACTATTTGTGTTGAGTTACATACCGTTGACCTTAAAAACTACTAAGCCTACGTGGCGCGCAAGCGGAGTAACTAAGAGCTAACTACGTTCTTCTGGTGAATGCGGGCGCGCCGACTCGCCACCGAACTCAATGAATGTGGTGATGGTGTCGAACACACTACTGACTTCTGTATCCAACTGATCATGACCGAGGAAGGAACACGTCTAGGCTTCTAGGTACTAGAACTTGAAGACAAGGTTGCTAGTGAAGTTCAAATAAGGTTTGGCTTTCAATAAGCCGAACACGAAATAACCTAGTAACACCTTGCTTCATAGAGAAGGCTAATGAGATGACGTCTTTCGATGAGAAAACCAAGGGCTCCTCACTGGCAGAGGCTTGGATAGATAACTAGCCAAATTTGAAGCAATGTTGTTACTCTCTGAAGATGCTTATCGGTCGCCTAACTCCAGTGCTGTTAATCTAAATTGAAGATGTTGCCAGTTGTCAACACATAGCTGTTAATCCAAACTGAAGATGTGTTGACAAAGTTAGGAGAGTTAGCGATTTCTTAGAAAATGAGAGAGGTTGGCGTAGAATGAGATTTTCACAGGGCGTTTGTGTGTTGCTGAATGTCCTTTTTATGTTGCCAAAACCCCATATTTTATAAGGGGTATATTTCGTGATGATCAGGTATTTAGAGTTGTAAAATTCTAATAATATTCCAATTCCTTTGCATATTCTCTTAATATACTCAAATGTTCTCAGCCAAAAGTCTATCACCATCTTTCTCGGCCTTTTCCTTACTAGGATTCTAAACCCAGCCCCCATATATGTTCAATTAATTCATTATCCCATCCGCCACAATCTTCAGTTCTTGGAAAATTCTGGTCCTCATCAGAAAACATCTCAATACTTAACAATCCTAGCTTATCTGAGGCTCGGCTACTCCCTTAGCACCACGTCATTGGGCCGAATCTCATGGCCTCTTTTCTGGGATGACTTCAACTCGGCCGAAAATGTGAATTTAGGCCCAAACACATACATAATTATGATTATCCCGTTATATAATGTAGACTCAACCCCACTCTCTCTACAGTAGCATATTATGTACCCTTATAGCAAAATAAGCAACTAGCTAGCAAGAATGGTATCCTCTGATCGTGGAGCTTCGATCAAATTTAACATTCACCGACATATTCACATAAGGGTGAATGAATGCTATTTCCCTACTCACTATTTTTGCTACCCATAATCTCTAAAAAAAAAATTCACATTCATCGGTGTCCGTGAGGTTTCTAGAAATTTTCTACCACATTTTTCGATGGGTTTAGGTATAGAATTTGCTCATGTGATCTCCTTTCCCTACATCTGTATTTATTTGAGCGTTTATGAACAAATAAGCTCCCAATATACAAATTAGAGACCGAAAAATAAATGAGAACATTTAGGGAGTGAATGAAGTGAGTATGAACATATTAGGGTTCTTAATATTTGTAAAGGTTAGTTTTGGTGCATTCTCAACTATTTTCTTGGGCTTTACAAAGGAATTAATTGTGCCTGAAATCAAAAAACATTATGATGGGCTTTTACAGCAGGCCTCTAATGAGTGCCTTATCCAACGTTGTGATGGGTTTTCAGATCAGCCACATTGGGTTGCTTGCCAAACAAATCTTATTGGTAAAACATTTTTTGATCATGGAAAGGTAAACCTAAAATGTTTCAATTTGGTTTGGTAAACAGAAAATTGGATTGGGCATTGATTGTTAGGCCTAATTTTTTGGGTTCTCTCAATTCTGGCTCATATTGAAGTGACTTTATTTTTTCGAGTTCTTATTTATTTTTATTTAAGTGATTTTGATTGCCAAATTATGATGTACATTTTATGTGAGTTTGAGGGTTTGAATTTGAGTGCCAAATTTTTATGTAACTTCAAAATTTAAATTGTAATAAATATGTTAAGTTTGATTTCGGTATTCAGTTCAGAACACACCAGCGCTACTGGAGAGTATTAAATGAGAGAAAAGATCTTCAATACAAGAAAGTAAAGGGATAAGGGATTTGGGTTTAAAAAAAAAAAAAAAACTATGTTTTCTCTTTTTGTAGTCACCACTATTATGAATGTTGAATCAAAATGCTTTTGTGGTATGTATTTTGATATGAGATACAACTATAGTCGCAGGTGTTGATTTATAATCGTTGATGCATGGAAGACTCATAATTCATTAATGTTCATGTTATGAGAATATTGATCATGATAAGTACTCAAAAGAGAAGATGGCTACGATCGGAACTATGATATCTCAAATGGTGTCGATCGAATGTGGTTGAATGTTAGCATCTTAACGTCTCATAAGGGATGAGAAAACTAGGAGATAATATCTTAATTGGCTTGCGTTTCCAATAAGAAAAAATAAGTGATAAGTTCATGTTAGTATTGATAAATTATTGTGCTCAATTTGTCCAATTTTAAAAACATTATGATGTGTTTCCTTTCACAATCATAGATTGATAGCACTGCCTAACCAAACCCTACTGAATTATTGAAAACAATGATCTAATTGTCTTCGAGTCTTTGTGTAGGGGCCAGCATCTAATTTTCTGATTGAAGGCTATGAAAAAGTTAAGAGGGATCGAAGTCACTGGGACCATTTTTTCAAAGATATTACCTATGGTGGAATCACAAGACAGGTCCATTTTTCTCTCCCGGAAGAAAGGAACAAGACGTTTTAATTAGTTTATTTACTGGAAGAGCCTTATCTGGGTGATTAAGTATTCGAATCATCAATTGACTTTAGAACAACTAGCCTCTATGCACGCGCTCACGGGCATACACAAGACATTTTTTGCATTACGGCGTGCTACGCGCGATTTACATGTTTTAAATGTATTTATTAATGTAGATGGAAATGAATAATAAATACATTTAATAAAAGCTGTCTTTTAACTAATCAAAACAGTTGAATCCATATTAATAAAAACGGTATTTCAATTTCCATCTACATTTTATTGAATTTACATTAAGATTAGAAAAAATATATTTAATAAACAACTGATTGCTAGCCCATTGTGAGGCTAAGCCCGCTCTCTTCCCTTAGTGTAGATAACATCGTTTGTTCAAAAAAAAAAAAAGATCATTTGACAACTAATTGAATCAAATTATTAGGAGCGCGCGAGAGACTTTTTCATAACTAGCACTACGCACCTCTTAAGTGTTAAAAATTGAGAAATGATATTTAATAAACAACCGCGTGCAAAATACATTTTTTGAATCATAGGCACTACGTGCGACTTAGACATTTTAAATGTATTTATATGCGTGAATTGCTTCAATATTTTTTATTTCATTATTTTCTTTTTTATCACCGATGCTACGCACTTTGTAAGATGTTTTGAACACAACATTCATGATTTTTCTTATTTTTTATTATATTTTTCTTCCCCATCACGTGGGTACCATCAACTTTGTCATTTGTTTATTCTTTTCTCTGTTTCCTTTCATTTTTTTTATTCCTTTCTCTCTTCCCATTTATATTTATATTATATTTTATGGTGACCAAATTACCAAATTACCCTTGCATTATATTAAGTTGCTTTTGAATATTTTTGGCTAAGGGGCAATTTGGTCATAATATTTTTGTCGAAGCCGTGACACCAAAAGAGCCTTCCGGCTTTATATATAATAGATTAAACGAATAATTAGAGTGTTCTAAGATGAGTCACCCGTAAATGCGTGGGCAATTCCTGAATGTTGATGGATGTAGGAAATGTATCAACGGCCAAAATTTACTGACATGTCAAAGATTAATTGTAGTTGTTTAAAAAGAAAACAAAAATACTGGGTCGTTTCATTTAAAGGTCATTTCATCAGTGCAATCGAGAACCTTACCATGTAAAAATTCAGAAGCTGTTGGTTGAGGTGGTGTACAAAGACTCTCTGCAATATTGGATTATCAAGTGGGTTTTACATTGGAGCACTGTCCTATTAGAGTTGGTTGGTCGAAGATTTGGAGGCAGATGCATATTATGAGTTCTTAACCTTTAACCGTTTGATATTTAGCTAGAGTTGTAATTGGCTTGTTTTTCAGTGGTTTAAACCTTTTTTTTTTGGGAAAAGATAATAGCTTAGTGGTTAAATGTTAGATTAGAAAGCCGACGAGGTTCAAACTCATGCCGAGATGCAATAACATAACTCATTTCCACCACTGTAGTCTTTTTTACTTCAAAATGTTTCAATACGAGTCTAATATGTCCACAGTTCTACAAGTTAAAAAGAAACATTATTCTTAATTTCTTACCTAAAAGACAATAAACACAATTATTAAACATGACCCTTCCATTAATATTCTACACTCTTCTTTTTTATGTAGGCAGGGTACTACACACTAAATTAATTTTAAATTATGCAAAAGAAGTTTCAAACTTGAGTGCAGTGGGAAGAACATAATTATCTTTTGTTACTTAATATATTTTGAATCTAATGAGTTGTTGAGTCTAATCCAATCCTAGACAGAATTCAGGGTCTCTTTTCTGGGAAATTTGATTTAGGGTTTAACGTGACCTAGATTGTTGTCTTCAAGCTTGCAGCAGCTCAGGGAGGGCGATGTACCATCCTTGTAACGTGACACAGGGTGGACCCACAGAACACCTCAACAGTTCAGTGTTTGGTGGATCTGGATTGTCTTCAAGCTTATCCAGTGACGTGTAAAAGCTATCTTTAAAAAGGATGGGACACTTGTCGAACCACTTGACCTAGTTATCCTGTTTCCAGTATTACGATCTCCAATCTTTTCTATCCGTGGCTTGATTCTGCTTGGCTTCCCAGAATTTGGCTCGCTGCATGAGTTTGTCATCTTTCTCATTCTACGTGGGTTAACTATATTGTCTTCAATTTTTTTAAGCTTACTTTTCATTGTTTTGAGAATGCAACTTTTATTATAAAAAATAAAAATAAAAAAAATAAAAAATCTGTTCATTTGTTTGATTCATATGAATATGATTAAATTATTTTTATTGAATGTTTTATTTTTAAATTTTTTGTAAATCTTTAGATAATAATAAAGCAGATAAAAGGCACATATTATGCGTTTGTATGATTAAGATACATTATTACAAGGCATATTTGTTTATTTACCAATTTCTCTAACTTAGTGTAGCTATTACTCATTAACTTATATTAGCTATTCCCTTAACTATAATTTTAGCTCGATTACCTATTGAACTTTTATAAATAGCCAATTTTCTTTCTGGTGTTAGATTTTATTCAATTTTCCATCCATTTTGATTATGAAAACAACACATGACAACTGTATAAGGGTATAAAGGATCAAAAATTGAATGAAAGTTTGTTAAAATCTAAAGCCATTGGGAATTAACTATTTATAAATGTTCAAGGAGGTAATCGGCTAAACTTCAAGTTCAAGGGAGAAATTTGCTAATTGAAAAAGTTCAAGGGGGTAATCGACTAAAATTAAAGTTCAAGAAAAAAATTGATAGCTACATACAAGTTCACGGGATAAATCAACAAATACCTCTTATTGTAAATGGAAGAACAAGTATTGGATGGAGCGGTGTAAGTCTAGATCGAAGTGAATCCTGTTTGGCTATTGTAAGACAAAATTAACAAATATATGTAAATATATTTAAAAATAGATAAGAGTTAAGTAGTGAGTTAGTAAGGAAATTATCCTTACAATAAAGACATTGAAAGAACGAGAAAAAACAGGTGAGTGAGACTGTGAGAGTGAGATGAGGTGAAAATAGCATCACTCAAAATTACTGGATATCCTTACATGTATTGCCCCCTTAACGCCAAACAATATAGTAGTTACTCAAATAAGTTCAAAAAAAAAACAGAAGCAAATTGGATGGCTCCAAAGTAATGAAGCCATTTTAGCCGGTTGCTTTTACTGAATTTAGCTTAAGCCACCACCACCTCAATTCTAGCCGGTTGCTCTTTTACTGAATTTAGCTTAAGCCATCACCACCTCAACTCCGACTCTCTCTCTCTTTCTCTCTCTCTCTCTCTCAAGTCTCAAAGCCTTTTTATAAGAACCCTGAGACACCTTGTGTTCATAGAAAGACCTTCCTTTCTACGTATTAATTTTCACATCTTCTCTCTCATTTGCTTTGTTTTCCCAATCTCTTTGTAACAGTCGTATAGCTTGGGTCACGAACCTACACTAACAACGTTCATTGGTACATCACACGGCCAGCTTCGTCGGTTGTTACAGAGAGACAATTAGTTTTAGAATAAATTAAAAAAAAAGTCATCATGGGTTTTCTTCACAAGCTTTGGGATGAAACACTCGCCGGACCGGCACCTGAATCCGGCCTCGGTAAGCTCCGAAAGTACGACTCCATGTCTATCCCGTCCTCTTCGCCAATGGCTGCGAATGAGGTTCCGGTCACTCGGAGCATTACTATTCTTAGGACTAGTTCGTCCACCCTTGGAAACCTTTCACCTGATTCCGGCTCCCCCTCAGAGTCCCCAACCACACCAGGAACTCCAAGAACCCGTAAGTTATCTATTTTATAGTCTCTAAATTAACTACAAACAACATGAATTGACACCGTGATAAATTTGATATGCCTTAAAAGACATAACAGAATTAGTTGGTGTGCTACTAGTAATTCTAATTTTTAAAATATCGTATCGGTAGATATCGATATGCAAATTTGTGGAAATATGGATATATTTGTCTAGCATGGAAAAATTGTTAGATACAACGAGTGTAAATATACTACACCCCTGTTGCGACCAACTTGCTTGGATATAGATATCATATTCTTAAATGTATAACTCTCTTTTTTGTGAGATATTTATATGTTTAATTTTGTTTATGTCTATGTATTCCTTTGATTTTACGTGCAGCTGGAACACCAGGTGCAAGGAATTTCAAGAAATTAACAAGGAGGAAATCGTCTGCTGATGCTTTGACACGCGCCGAACCTAGAAGTCCGACTGGTTACGATTGGTAAGTGTTAGCTATGTTTAGAATGATAGTGAATCAAAAGAAGCATGCATATATATATATCCTTGCTTCTATAGCTAACCCCGGTAGATATCGGAGTCAACTTGAAGAAGCATGCATATCTCATTTGGTTTAGATAATTCTCACTAGATTAAGAACTGATCAAGTCAATGCCAATTGAAAACAAGATTAGGAATTTGGGACCATCTAGGAAAAGAATTTGGTACTCTTACCCTTGGGCTAGATATGCGTAGGGTAGTTAAATAATCTGATATGTTATATTGTCAGACTATCAAACGTCACCATGCATTCAAAATACATGTAGATTGAGTCTGATAATATAACGTGCAGACTTGACAGTCTTCCTTATATAGGTCTCACAAAATACCAAGGTTCTTTTGTAGATAATCGATGCATTAATATCCGAGGAGAAGATTGTTTAACAAATACTAGTTATACTTTAACCCCCCTTATTATTTCTTATTTATGTGTATTACAGGATGGTAATTACTGCTTTGGATCGTTGAGAGAGGAAGTGAAGAAGATTTTGCTAAAGTATCGGCCGGCGGCTCCACACCATTGTACATAGAGAACCTTACCTTTATGGGAACTTGATGCATATACAAGTATATAGATGTAATTATCTAAGTACGTACTACTACATATAATAAGACGGTTCAACTGACGAGGAACAGCAGAGGAACCGATGCTCCTTGGAGATTATGGAGGATTTGAAGTAGGGTTTGCTATTTCACCTATATATTTTCATGTTTCCATGTGATCTTCAAGTTTTGTTTTGTATTTTTATCTGATCTTTGTACATATGGATTTGTGTATTGAATCCTCCCCTTCATGAAACTCCTAAATTTGGAGCTTAATAATTAACTTAAAGTATACTCTTAAATTTTGATTTTCATCATTGTTTGTTAGCATGGTAGTTAGTTTCCTCATATTTCAAGCAAAAAAAATAAAGAACAAATGGTTATCAAATGAACCCATACAATTTAACGCAACATACATATAAAAGTGTGGGAACGCATCATGCATATAGAAGTGTGGGATTAATAATTAGCTATTTTCAAAGTGCAATGTTTTTCCTGCTGTGTTTATTGTATAATATTGTAAACCAAACATAATATTCAAACATTCAGGATTAAATATTCTGGCTTTGAGTAAAACTTCTTATGTGGATTACACACAATAGTTATGAAAATTGACATCTTGAATATTCAAGAGTGTTGCTGTTCGAACCCTATACCCCATTCGAGTTTAACTTAATCTAAATGGAAAATGAAGGGGGAAAAAAGGAACAAAACTTGACTGAGAAACAAGGTATTGGTTTTTCTTTATATCAACTCTGGAGGTCCCTAGGTTGAACCAGATTTCACTTTCTCAATCAGATCAGCAGCGTCTTGAACGGTTGCGATGTTCTCAGCTCCTCCTTCTCCGACGGACACACCGAACTTCTCCTCCAAAGCCATCAGGATTTCAACCTGTTTCATTTTCTTTCCATTGATCAGATATTTATGTGCAGAGAGTGAAATAAATAATTGAACAAAAAGTAAAATATTGAACAGATCGGTGACATTAATCAAGCATATGAATATTTGGTCTTTGACGTCAAATTAATGGGTGATTAATCTATACACTATACCATCAACTAGAGAGGGTTCCAACTAAGTCAATACCTAATTATCTCTGAATTAGTTATATGACTTAATGAGCATAAGACTTGGTTACATTAGAAGCGTTCGAAGCAATAAATTATATTATTCTTAATTAACTCAATTTCGATCATTTTCTCTCACAATCTCACCACTTGGCTAATCCTAACCCCAAGGACCTCATTTTTACTCATTATATATATATATATATATATATATATAGGATTAACGATAAGTTACATGATAAAAGTCATAATTAATAATTAAGTGGTACAATTTTTTTTGAATGTTACGATATAGCGGACTGAAACAAATTACTTATATTTTGTGTGGAAATTATATGAAGAACACTACAATTATTAGTACTTTTTTACAAGTCATAGCTAATCGATTTAACATGTTATGATATATTATGCAAAACTGCCAAAACATCACTCATCACCAATTAAAGCTAAAGAAAAAGAAAAAGAAAACTATAGAGTAATTAGAGAAAGTCTGAAGATCGAGCATCATACTGTGTCGAGAGAATCCGCCCCCAAATCGACAAATTTTGTTTCGGGAAGCACAGTGCTTTCATCAATGGAAAGTTGCTTGGCAATTGTGCTTTGCACAGTCAGCAGGGTCTCTGGTTGAGCCTGCACAAGGTAATCAAACTAGATAAGTGCTTATTCTAGTTAAGCACCGATTAGAGATATGATTAAAAGAACATACACAGAATAAGCACGGATAAAGTGTACCGCAAAAAATGTTTCAAGTAACTACATACATTTCTGATGGCATTCGGTAGAGCTTATAACTAATAACTCTGATGCATGTGTTAATGGAAGTTATCGCATGAGAAATTACAAACAAAAAAAAAAAGGAGAAAAAATAAGATGCAAGAGAAAGCAAGTGTAAAATTACTATAGATAGCCAAGTTAAAATAGATATTTGCAGAAATATATGTAAATATGTTTACAATGGCACATGAGATTGTAGTCTTAGTGCAACTAGGGAGTGCAAATGATCTTCTGCTGCCTTAGTGATCGCGATCTTTGGTACAAGTCTTAGCCCCTTAACCACTGGCCCTTCCTGCATTGAAAATAATCAAATCATACAATTAGTGAAAATTCGGTCTCTCTATAAACTGTGGAATGCACGTCTTGTCGTAACTGCTCACAAATACATATCTATTCTCGCTCATAAACTGTGGAATGCACGGCTTGTCGCAACTGCTCACAATAAACAGATCCATGCATGTGAGTTTCCCACATAGTGTGACATACGACAGCCTGTACCCAATAATCTATGATTCTTGCAAAATTCGTGGCACTTACAATTCTAGAGAATCCATTGAGTTGGCAAGTTGTGCTTCTGCCCTTGGCGGTGTAAGGTAGAGTGGCAACAGAGATTGGTGAAATTGAACCAAAAGAAGCCATGATCAAGAGTTGGAAGCTTGAATAATTATGTAAAACAAGAAGAATAATAACGATAACAGCTTGTTCTTACAATGCGTATAGGCATATAGGTTTTGTAATTTGCTTCATATATAATGCAGAGATACATGAAAAATGTCTAGGGGTTTTGTCGATAATTACAATAAATCATATCGTAATGACCATGTAATTGGCGGATAATACCATAAACTGTGTCTCTTGTGCTTGTAAAGCTGGCTTTAGGTGGACTCAGTAAAGCCCTTCGTCAAAGACAACATATAAGCTTAAGCTAAACTTTGTTACAAGGGTTGTGCTATCCACACACCTATTTTTACCTCCCACACACCTTTTGTTAATTTCCATCCTTTGATCTTCTTCAATTCATTTTATCCAACGATCAAAAATTGAGATGAATATGTAGAAGGTAAAAAGAATTCATATTCAATCTGCCTTTGCATCAACTTTTGATTCTAAACTAATTGGGTTTATGTTTTGGGCAAGAGACTAACATAATTTGATAGTTTAGGCTGGTTTGGTATGTTGGATTAGAATGAATAACTTATTGAAGTGTAGAAGTGAACGATATTTCATTTGGAGGGAATTAGAAGAGGACTAGGCATGAAGAAAACTCATCCCTTGTAATCCTATCATTTTGGAGAGGATTGAAATAGATAAGTTTTATTCCTAAGTAATCCTAGTTGGACATAATTATTTCATTTCTCCTCTCACGATACCTTTAATTTACAGTTATCCACTCCAATTCATTCTATATTCCAAACGAAGCCTTATTGACTTGGTATAAGAAGAGTAGAAGTCTTAACTAAAAGGATGAGCATGGTTCGATAACTATGAATTCGTTTGATTATGTTACACTCATAGTTAAGTTTATAACCTAAGGTGATTTCTCAGATGATAAGAAGGCTTGCTGATCTTGGGTTCCTGGATGATTAAGATGGCATTCAAATGAGTATGAACGGGCCTAAGCTTACCCATTTGTTATTTGTCGATGACACACTTGTGTTCCTAAATGCTACTCTAGACAACTATCGGAATATTTCGAACCTGCTAAGGGCTTACTGACATGCCTCTAGGTAACAAGTCAGCTTGCAAAAGTCTACTGTTTATTTTAATGCAAATACTCCTTGCAATACTTATTCATGCTTTGTGTGATATTCTTGATATGCCACAGATTGATGATCCAGGGGTATATTTAGGCATTTCTACGATCTGGGGTCGGTCAAAGCGCGATGCTCTTGCATACATAAAGGAGAGGGTTTTAGCAAAAGTAATGGGGTGGAAGCAACAATTTCTTTCTCAGGCTGGCCGCAAAGTGCTTATCAAGGCGGTTGCTCGGGCGATTCCAACATATTCAATGAATGTTTTCCGGCTACCAACTCGTCCTTGTAGAGAGATTGACGTTATCCCTTGCTAAGTTTTGGTGGGGGAATAGAAATAAAGAGATGGGCATTCATTGGGTGAATTGGGAAGAAATGGGTTGTGCCAAAGGTGATGGTGGGATGGGCTTTTCAGAACCTGATGGACTTTAACACTGGACTTCTTGCCAAGCAGTGTTGGCGTCTAATCCCTAAACTGAATTCTTTATGGGCAAGAGTGTTGAAGGACTGGTATTTCCCTTATGACTCGTTCTTAATTCTAAGTAGAGGGCGGTGGGCGTTATGGGCATGCTCAAGCTTACTGGAAGGAAGGGACCTTATTATCCGAGGGACTAGATGGCAGGTTATGAGTGGAAACTCAATTAGGATTTGGGATGATAATTGGGTCTCGGGTGTGATGAATGGATATCCAAACCCTATGGGGGAGGCGGAGGTGGATAGATCGTAGGTAGTGGCCGAGATTATTGATCCGGTTTCAAGGTTGTGGAGGTTAAATGACATCATAGATATCGTCTCTGTGGTTAAGGGGAATGTCATTGCCATGCTTCAGGTAAATGACTCACAAGCCCCGAATCGGCTTATTTGGCTTGCAGCAAAAAATGACATATATTCAGTAAAATCTGGGTACATATGGGTTTATAGGCCATCCCCAAAGGAACGGTTTGGTCATCCATCCTCCTTTCGTACTATTGAGAATGTGGTGTGGAGTGGATTGTGGAGTTTAAAGGTTTCCCCCAAAATTAAGAATTTTGTTTGGAGATGTTTAAAGGGGCTATTGCAACAAAAGCTCATTTGTTTAGAAGGAGATGTGTTGTTTCCCCTCTCTACGATCGAACATCTTCTTCTTCTTTGCCCATGTGTTTAGCTGATTTGGTTTGGTGGGCCTCTCAGTCTTCGTATAGACCAAGAATCTGTTACAATCTTGGATTTATGGTTGTCTTCCCTCTTAAAGCTGAACTTGGGTTTGAAGGAGTGTAAAACCGGTTTCTATCATTGGTGGCCTTCTCTTGTTGGTTTATTTGGAAGGCTAAATATGATGCTGTGTTTAAATGTAGGGACCCCGCCCTTTCTCAAACCATACATGCTTTGACTTGTGCGTGGGAAGCATTTTCTGCTACTACATTTGTGGATGGAAAAGGCAGCCTTCCGATCCCTTCCATACCTGATAGGATGACCCCGTGGTCTCCCTCTCCCAATCCTGTGACAAAGATCAATGTAGATGTGAGCTGGAAGATTGGTTCGTCTGTGGCTTGGGTGGGTTTGGTTGTGCGGGACTTTGGTTCCAGGTGTATAGTAATAAAAAGGCGATGATTTTGGCTTCTAATGTGACTATTGTCGAATCCTTGGCAATTTTGTACGGGTGCTGCTTAGCAAAAGAGTTGAATCTTGCTCAGGTGGTGATTAAGTCGAATTTGAAGAATGTCATCACAT